GCTGGGGGAGCCGGGCCCCACCATCAACGGGCAGCAGCTGGCGGTGTGCACGCTGCTGGAGGAGGAGAGCCGTGCCTTCACCTGCCGGGCCCCCCAGCCAGCCCCCGGCACCGCGCTGACGTGGTACCTGGATGGCCAGAAGCAGGAGGCGAACTGTTCGGCTGCAGACACTGCCAGCACCCTCACCCTCACCGCCCGGCGTGCCAACCGCCAGCTCAACTGCTCCCTGACCGACCCAGCCTCCGGGGAGACCTACAATGCCTCCGTCCTCCTCGATGTGCAGTGTAAGGTCCGCGGCACCGGCCGGAGGTGCGGGGAGGGCGTGTAGGGCTGCTGTCTGTGACCTGCATCCATCGCAGCCGCGGCACGGCAGTGTCTCATCAGTCCTGTGTAAACGCGGCTGACAAGCCCTCCTGGCGAGACAAATCCTGCTCCTAGCTGTGCTGCCCCGTCTGGGCTGCGCCCTATCCCTCCTGCTTGTCTCACTGTCTGTGTTTGTTGCCCAGATAAGCCAGAGATCCTGTGGGCAGATGCCCGCTACCAGCAGGTCGAGGGCACTGGGCTCCTCCTGCTGCTCTTCGTGCTGGTGCGAGCCAACCCTCCTGCCAGCATCACCTGGGTGGACCAGGATGGGCACGTGATGGCCAACGCCTCCGAGATCCTCCTCCTGCGTGCCACGCGCTACCCGGGGCTGGCCAACCATTCACTGCGCATCCACCTTGGCAGCGGCCAGCAACTTCTCCGTCAGCGCTGCCAACAGCGTGGGCGTCACCACCGCTTCCCTCCTGCCCCCAGGTAGGTGTTGGGGGGTGGGTGCGGAGCAGCGGCCCTGCGGAGGGGTGCTGAGGGGGCCCTGCTGCCCATGCAGGTCTGCTGGACGCCCGCGTGGAGCTGCCCCTCCTGGGTGTTGCCGTCGGAGCAGCCCTGGCCCTGGGTGCCCTGCTCAGCCTGGGCTCCTGTGTCGCCTGCCTGGCGTGCCGGCGGGGGCCAGCCGGGGCGGGCGGGGGGGAGG